AATTATACGTTTGTAGACTCAAGGACTAAGTGATATTAAGTTCTTTACAAAAGGACAAAAGGTAAAGTTCTTAGAGGCTAACTGCAATGTTTATTTTAGTTAAAAAACATTTTTTTTTTAGTGCTGTTCTCTTCATTTAAGGCTCCTTCGAAAATGATCGGCATATATATGGTTTTTCATTTGTCTAGATGCTTTGAGCTGTCCTGGATTATACAGGGTGTTCCAGCATGAAAGGTAAGTAATAGGTGATTGAAAATCTGGGGGATCCCCAAATAAGCCCCCCGTTTTCATTTTTTCGATAAGTCAAAAATTGAAGGTTTCGACAGTCAAGTAAAAAAATAATGACCTAAAAAACCAAAAAATTAATTCATGTTATTCAGTGCAAAATGTTCACCTTAGAAGAGGGGTCACATCAATTTCAGTCTTTTTCAGACCCTAACTCTTCTCTTATCACTTATCCTATCATTTATTTCTTACCTCTAGTCTCTAATCATTTGTCTCCTATCACTTATATTTTATCATTTATTTCTCATCTCTTGTTTCTAATCATTTATCCCTAATCTCTTATCATTTATCTTTAATCTCTCATAATTTATCTCTTACCAATTATCTCTTTTCTTTTATCTCTTATCAATTATGTCTTAGCATTTATCTTTTATCACTTATCATTTATTTCTGGTCTCTAATCATTTTTCTCTTATCATTTTTTGAGTTAGAAGCCGAAAGGGACTGAAAATGATGTGACCCCTCTTTTAAGGTGAGCTTTAGCACTGAATAACAGGGCGTAATTTTTTTTTCTTAAGTCATTGTTTTTTTACTTAATTGCCGAAACCTTCAATTTTTGACTTATCGAAAAAATGAAAATGGGGGGCTTATTTGGGGGTCCTCTAGATGCCCAATCACCTATTACTCACCTTTCATGCTGGAACACCCTGTATGTTGGATTCAGTAAGTTGGTTATAGTTAGGTCGACTTGGCAATTATCGCAATGGGTAGGAGGATCCTTATTTGTTTGTTATGCTTGTGTTAACAGAGAATGTCCCATTCTGGCTTTTGTTAAGGTGACTTCGTGCCGTCTTACTAAGTGTGAGGGAATAGGCCATTTTCAATAATTTTCTTAAAATTTTTAAGTTTATGAGTGAGTGGCGTAGAATCCAAATAATTTTGCCATACCATGTTTATTTTTTTTTAATTTAATTTAATTTTAAAAAACCATCATAAAATACATAGAATACAAAAACATCAAGTTAGTTTACATGATTATCTATCTCTTTTAAGCTATAATAGCTTGTGTTAGAGATAGAGAGTAATTAATTAATAATTAAGAACACAAATTATATCATTAAGTAACAAAGTAATGTGATAAATAAAATAGAAGTTAAAAAACCAAAAAAAAATTAAAAATTTTAACAATAGAAAAATTGTGAGTATGAGATGTAATATTAAATATAACAGAAACATATGAATGACTTAAACTATTTGAGAAAACTATTATTAATACACAATTTCTTTAACATTACTTTTAGAATAGTGAATTTTTTTTTTATAATGCCACGGCAAAGATTTAAAATACATAGGTTCTAAATAATTAACAAAAGATTTATAAAAACAATTTGACAGGTATATTATACCGTATATTTTCTCTATTACCTTCCAACAATTTATAATTTTTACCTTGTATGAACCTTTTAAAAGTGTGCGAAATGTCAATTTTTTATGAAGAAATCTGGTTGGTAAAATACCCAGCTCTCTATAATTTTGAGTCGTAGAATGTTGCAAGGAGTTCTTGTTTAAACAAATTCTTATTATGTTATTTTGGTTTACTTGCAATTTATTTAGAACATTACCGCCTAATCCCTCCCCCCCATACTAACATTCCATATTGGAATATTGATTGATATAGGGCAAAATAAATAACATATTAATATCAAAATTGGGCAATATCTGTAGTAATATTTTGCGATTCACAGTATCAAATGCCTTTTTTAAGTCCAAGGATACAACAATCACCTTGTTACTGTTATCTAATTCATTAAAAATAAATTAGATCGTACTAAATAGAGCATCATCTAATTGTATTATTCGACTTTGTGTACCCGATAAAATTTATTTATAATTTGGTTTGTTAATGTTAACACAATAATAACATTGGGTAAGTCTACCGTATCTAAAAAAATGTAACAGCAAATTATTTAAAAAAGTAAAAACAGTCAAGAACAATAAAAACTGTTTTTTTTAAGCGCAAAAAAATATAAATTAAAATTCACCAGAAAAAAAATTAGCTTGATAATTGTATCTCTTCCATAAACTGTATTTATTCTATAATTATTATAAAGGAAATTAATGAAAACACAATAGTAATAATGTCGGAAAGTGTAATTTGAATTTTAAAATACACTACACTCAAATAAAGAATATTTTATATTATGCATATTGCTTTTGTAATAATGCGAAATAATGCACGATGGTTTCTTTATAGTGTAATTGTAATATTGTGTACTTTAATATTAATATAACAAGTATGTATGCATTTTTTGAACTATATTACATGGGTAAGTGAAATAATTTTTAGATGCAGTACATTCAATACACGTTGACAAACCAAATAAAAAAGAAAAAATTAAAAACTTATTAGAGACTTTTTTATTTTTTTTTAAACATTTATTATGTATTAGAAACGTATTTTTGTTGTATTGTGTACTTTAAATAGGAAATCTACCTGAAAAAAAATTAAAACTCTAACATTGAGTCTTGGATGAATAACAGTTAACAATTAAAATTAACAAATTTAAATTGTATCACTCATTTTGAACGAGAAGTGGTTCGTGCCGGTAGAATTGCAGTCTACCGAAGTAAAAAAAGATAAAGCGAATATTGTTATTATCTCTAATATGGCAGCAATCTTCAGAAGTAATAGTCTTACACATGTTGCAGACATTTGTTCAGCCATATGTGCAATAGTAAACAGTATCAAATTAGTCATGATAATTATCTTTTGTTTTTTTCCCAAAAAAAGTCAGTATAGTAGGGTCACGGCATAACGGGGACGGGGAGGTCTCAGGTTTACAGGAATTATTACAACTGAATGTGATAAAATGACTTTCAAACAAACATTTTGATGCTAGTTTTTTAACACAGCACCTCACTTTAATATTTTCTTACTTTGCTGCTTTTTACTGTGACTGGTTTGGACGGTACTGTTATAAAAAAAATACTACTGTTTCGCATCGAAGCGTTTATTTACTAATAAAAATTAACACTTTCAGTTATAATAATTCCTGTAAATCTGTCACTTTACAGGTTTTTAAATTTCGGCCTACCGTTTGGTAATGGGTATGTATATTTTCAAGACATAAAAGTAAACTGTTCATTTGCAAAATACAAGACTAGTACATTGTGGTTGAGACTTATTGGAAACCAGATCACGTTTTGTTTTGAAATTAATAATATATACTTATGTAAAAATGATATGGAAACGGTTATTTTTTTCTTCTTTTTATTAAATGTGAACGATACGCATATTATGAACTGTTCGATTTGGGATTTATCAGTTGAACCGTAGTGGAAGTTTCGGAAATGGGAATTCATAATATATTAATGTTTACAAATGGTTTATAGATCTTAAAAATGTTTTTATTTTAGTAATAAGATAGATACATTTTGGGTTAGGTTAGGTAAGAATAATGACGATTATTTTTGTTACACTATCTAAAGTATGCGGTTTAGGTGATTCATGGGCTCAGACACAAATATGAAAACTAATTAAAAACATCAATGTAAAAACAATACCTTCTCAGCTCTGCATCGAAGCTAAAATATTCATATATCAAAAACTAAGTTGTTTATTCTTTATTCTATATCGCTATGATAAGTTGTTTTTTTTTCAAATTATACTTATAACTATTAAAATAACAGTGCTGTAAAAAAAGGTTAAGAGATAAAAAATGGAAAAATATTTGTTTTTACGAAGTTTATTACTTACATTTAAATTTAATAAATTAGATAATTATCAATACCAATGTAAAAATGACACCTTCTCAGCCCTGAATTGAAGCTAAAATATTTAACTATTAATAATTTATTTTACAATTATGCTGTAACTAAAAGATAATATGTACGCATAACATTAAAAAAAAAAAAATTCAGATGATCTTTACTAAAATATGTATCGACTATAGTGTAGCTAATCTGGTATTCTCGTACCTGTATTACAAGGACAACGAACATATTATTGTTTCTCTTAAATTACTAGAAATTGAGAATACGAAAAGAGTAATAAAATGTGATAGATAGGCGTAATTACCTTCTGCTAATTTTTAATAAATTAATCTTTAGTGTTTTATTTCCCTGAAGTAATAAAACAAGTAACAGCCCCAATAAATTGAATTGATCGAAGTTGAAATGGTTTTTAAAAACATGGGCAAATTGTCATATTCATAATTTACATTCTAGGACACATTAGAATAAAGCGAAATAAAACAAAATTATGTCAGTTTATGTTATAAAAACATTTATCCTTGAGGGTAAAAGAGTTTTTACATTTTTTTTTATTATTCCGTTTTTATCAAGACAAATTGCTTATCATCCGTTAATCGTAGTTTGCTGATTATAGTTGGAAATTAACTATTAGATTAGTAATTTATTTTATAATAACACACTGATATGAGTATAATATGGTTTTGAAATACAACAATATATTGTTCTAAAGTGAATTTTTTCATAATTATATGGATCCAAGAAAGGACTCCACGAAAAGATATCTTTTTTTAATTTTTAAGTCCTACTAAGTCTCCCTGGAATTGTTTACATATTTTAAATAGAAATTGATTAAATAATTTGTTTAATATGATAATAATAAAATGGTATAATGTTTTTTCTTGGCTGGCTAAAATAATAACACTCTAATTTAACCTCATATCGATTCAAAAATGTAACGAGTAAAAAATTAACATATTTTTTAATGTTTTTATTTATAACAACGGTTTTACTAACTACATATTCGTCATGAAAAATAACGAAACCCTATTTAATATGATTACATTAAATTAAAATAACACTATTAAAAACTTTGCTTCAATAATTGATTACGGTCTTGCTTCTATTTTATCGTAAAACCCTTCGACAAACTTTAGTGTCGTTGAAAACATTACACGGAGATTATCTGGTTTAGGACTCTTATCCGACGGATTAAAACGATAAGACCTAAACAGTGTTTAGATGACAGTTTTATTGACATATTTTTTAATGCTTTTAGCAGTTATTTAAGTCCAAAAACTAAAAATAAAGACATCGATATGAAGAATATAATACACTTACACATTAATGATGTCTAAAACCGAGAGAATATGCGTTTAGGTAACTTAAAAAGTTTACAGAAAATATTTAGTAAAACGAGACAACACCGACAAATTGGTAAGCCAAAATAATAACCATAACCGAAATACCTAAAATCTAAAAAATAACAAAACCCTATCTAATATCATTACAAAATATCCGAACAGTACAATATAAATGTGTAAATAATTTTGGTTCTAAAATCTGCTTCAATAATTGATTACGGTCTCGCTTCTATTTTAACGTAACACCCGTCGACAAATTTTAGTGTCGTTGAAAACATTACACGAAGATTTTCTGGTTTAGGACACTTATCCGACGGATGAAAACGATAAGACCGGATCAGAGTTGAGATGACTGTTTTCATTTGAAGCATTGCATATTTGTAACCGGGGCAATTCCTATAACCAGCACTAAAAGGAAGAAACGAATACGGATGGCGACTGCGACATGCTTCGGGCAAGAAGTTGTCCGGGTTGAATTTCTCCGGATCGGGATAGATTTGCGCATTAAAGTGTAACAGAGCAGGGAAAATTAGGAACGTTGACCCTGCAGATATTTTTAAAAATTACTTTACTTTGTTATTTTAAGTATCAATTGTGGATAGTTATCAAACAAATATATCTATGGCCGTACCTGCAGGGATTAAATAGCCTCCAATCATTGTTTCCTTTTCTACGTTTCTGCCAAATAATGGGAGGGGGGGGAAATGTCGCATAGTTTCTTTGATTACACGTTCCAAGTATTCCATGTTTTGTAAATCATCATAGGTAGGTTGTCGATCGGGATCGCCAGAAGAAAATATTGTCAATAACTCTTCCAACACCTATTATGAGGCAAAGAAAAAAATATACAATTTTTTCGTTACCAAGAATACCCAAAACGTGTAATTTTAAAATTTATATAAAAATACAAAATATGGGTTACTTTATTTTGTACATCCTGATGATGAGCCAACATAAATATTATACATGCGTTCGTCATAGCTGTTGTGTCTTGACCTCCTAAATACCACATAAAAAAAAAATAGAGAAAAACAATTCCTCTTAATACGCATGTTAAAATATATAATAAACATACGACCAATTCTTTCCAAAAGTCATTTTAAAAAAAAAACACGTACCAATTATAACAGTAATTATTTCATCCCGTAATTGGTTAAATGTCAACTGATTTTCATTCTCGAGCATTATCTCAATAAACGATTTAGATTTAAGGCCAATACATTCTTCGTTATATTCTTCCTGATTGTTTATATTGTTCTTCAATTCTGTATTTTTTCTCTGAACTAAATCGTCGATGAAATTAAAAATTTTACTTTGACTTATGTCATGTTTACGTTTAAGCGAAGAAAACTGAAAGAGACTTTTGTTCCAAAACCACGGGTGTGTTATTCGGTATTCCCAAACCTAAAACCAATCTTCATTAAAAAAGGCTGACATGCCAACTCAAAAACATCATCGGTAAAGTACTTATTAGTTATAAAGTGTGCCTTGTAATATATATTCATTCCAGAAATCATGAAAATATTGAACGTATACCTTTAGTATGACATGTAAATTCTCCACAAATACGTGCTTTGCGTTTTTCTGTGCATTAAATTTTACATCCAAAGCGGTTCTTCCGATCATCTCCATTGTCGCCATACCGATTGCCCAGCTTATTTCACATTCATTTGTATTATT